CTGCCCATGACCACCACAGGCTACTCTGTTTCTCTGGGATGCATAAGACACCTAGGAAAAGGGATCAGGAAAGAAGGGACGTGAAGAGTCACCTTTTCAGAATAGAAAGCTACTTTCTTTTGTGTCTCCCTGGCAAGTTCTCTGGTATGGCAAATGAGAACAGTGAATTATATTTAATGAAAATAGAAACAAGAATTATATAGAAGTTCCTTTATGGGGCACACTTAGATTGTGAAAGTCTGGAAGCCCTAGGAATCATTGGACAAGGTCAAATGATCAAGCATGTATCTTGAGATGGTTTGTGTGTATATAAGGCTTCATTTATTAAGTTTTCACACGCATGTGATGTGCCTGATGATTACATGAGCACAGAAGCCTACAATTTCCTCAAAGATAAGTCTGAGCATCCAGGAATAAAGTATACAGTATCAAGGCAGAAGTTCTGTCTCCAAAGCAACCAACAGTCCTTCTTGAACATCTCACATGACACCTGTTGGGCAACTCCCACTGCCCAGGTGTGCCACTTCTTCATGCCCAGGTGGGCAAGGCAGGCCTCTGAGAAGTGTCTGAGGTCTAACTGCCTTCCTGGGAGCATCTCCTGTAGGAGTTTGAGCTCTGAGGTAAACCCCCGTGTCTAGCAACTGTTACCCGCAGAAGTCATGGAGCTGGGACCACATGGAAGGGACAAAAGGGTGTCACCTTTGGAGTGCTCATATCAAACAGGAAAAAGCTTAACTTCAAATAATCTACCTCTCTTTCTCTTCTTGACTTTGCCCTGTTGCTGAGAACAATAGAATGAGGGCCTGGGACTAATTTCTATTGCTTCTGTTTCTAGTGAACTCAGACTTCCATTATCCAAGCATAATATGGTTTACTGTTCAATTAATAGGGATTTTTTTTTCCTTTTGTCATCTTTTAAAGGTAATCAAATTTCAATTTTCTTCTTAGAAAAGCTAAAAAGAGGGTTTTGTCTCTGAGATCCATAGTCAGAAGTCCTCTGTTCAAGGAAGAGTTTGGGGGCCACAGTCACATCTGCACTCCCAGTAGACCCTGTGTCTGGCTCTAGGCTCTGCTCAGAAGATCCCAAGGATCAGCATTGCTCTCCTGGTCAGCCCAACAGGGAGGAAGGCTCAGGGAAGGACACCTGACATGGAAACGGGACTCACAGTTGAGTCCAGTTCTTCTCTGTCAGAGAACACACAGCCTGTAACTGAGCCAGTCGGGACCAGGAGAGCCTTATTTGGTATTGTATCCTGAGCTCTCTACTGCTGACTACCCTGTGCAACATGTAACTCTGTTGTTTCCCTGTGAGTATCTTGTCACGAGAAAAGGTTGAGAAGATTTGCTCTGTATGATCACCCTGCAAGTATACAGTCAGCTGTCATACTTTATTCAGGTTCCTCCTGTCAGGTTTAAAAAAAATCTCAAAATCTCACATCTTACCCATCTCCCTATACCTCTGTTTCCACCCTCTGGATTGTTTCTGCAGTCCCCTAAGCTGTCTCCTGATATCTCATGATTATCTTCAACCATAAGGCCATTTTTCTGACATCCATGTCCAGCACTCTTACATGGGCTCCTTGCCAAGGCAGAGCCTCCAGACCAGGCAGTGTCTCCTTTCGGCTCTGATGGAGCAGTGAACCCACCTGGAGGACAGAATCTGCCAAGAGCTGCCCTTCCTCCTCTCCGACACACAGCCCTGGCTGAGGCTTCACTTAACAACTTTGTCCTGATGGAGATGAGGAGACACAGACATCTGTAGGTCACAGGCTCTGCCTTTAAGGGGCTCATGCTGAGGATGCTACAGAGGCAAGACCCACACAGTTCAGCAACTGCATACTCACAGAGGAGAGGCCAGGCCCCTCAGCTCTTGCTCACTGCTAAGCCATCTGTGGAACAGA